AAAGTGTCTTTACTAATATGTATCTTCTTTTTAATCCAAGTTTATTATATCTGAGATCTAATGTTGTTAAGGAGATGTTCTTGCAAATGGCATCTGCTTCAATTTTATTAATATTGAGCTTTAATATTGTTAAGGAAGAGTTCTATAAAAGTGCATCAGCTAATGTTTTTACTACTTCAATCATTATTTTTTTCAAATGTCTATATTAGCTTGTTTATTTTTAACACGCTATATTTATTAGAAAAAAAATCTCAGTTTGAAGCATTTTTTTGATCTTCAGGGCTATGTTGGCTGTTTTTGAGAATTTCTTTAAAATTTCTAATGCTTTGAGAAATTTGTCTTTGCTCAAAAAATTCATGTGCTTGCTTTTTCAAATTCTCAAAAATATAGCTGTTATGTGCAGATATATTTGAATCATGTAAAGTGGAAATGATTTAATTTCAAATATACTAATATTGTCTTGACATCTTAAAGAAATTTTGCTATTTATAGATAATGTCAAAGTTTTATCAGGAATAATTTGTTTTAAAGTATTAAGAATTAATCTTGTTTCTGGACAATTTGCAGAATTGCTATCTCAATATTTTTGGTAAAGTTCAAATATTGAGATGGTGTCCCTTCTATAGGTTCTTTTTTATTTCCTTGAAATATGTAAATAGCAAGTGTAAGTGCATATTTAAAGAATAGAATGGAGGTCTTCCATTAGAAATTTCTTATAAGATTTGTCCAAAGCTATATATGTTAGTCCTCTTATTATGTTTATATCTATGCTTAATAAGATATTCAGGTTTAATATATGCTAGCATTTACAATCGAGTCTGAGGTTATAGATATTATATTCATCTGTTTTGATAGTACAAAACCTGTAATCTTTAGCTGTCTTTGATTAATTAAGATATTTTTCAAATGCTAAATTATTAAAATATAATGATTAAAGTATATTAGTAAAGTATATATTAGTAAATTAATACCAGATAACTGTCATAGTCAGGATCGGTTCTTCTGTGAGTATTGGGCTTCGAAATATGTGATAAGAGGGGTTTTGATTGGGAAAGGCAAAGAATAAAAAAATAAAAAAAATAAAAAAAAATAAAATAATAATAATAATAATACTAATAATAATAATATATTTGTGTGTAATATATAGAGAAAAATGAAATAAAATATGACAATAAGAAATAAGGAAAAAAATAAGGAAGGAAGAAGGGACAGGTTATAATCAAGTAACTAATTTTAATATGTTGCCATGGTCACAGAATTGTTGATTAGGTATGGATAATTAATGAGCCGCAGTTGATTGAGCAATTGATCAAAGATTTACAATGCATGAAATATATGTTATAAGAGAAAGTTAAATATGATATAATCAATTTATGTGTATTTAATTTAAGAGATAACATAGAGTTAATTATAATATAATTAATTTAAAAGTCAAAAATACGTATATAAGGAAATTGAAAAATAAGAAAATTAATTAATTCTTTTCCTCTTTTGTTGAAAACATAAACAAAAAGTAAAATACAAAAGTTACTTACTTTGATTAAGACACAAAATATAAATCCTTGTTCGTTCTTGCACATACTAACTAAAAGATATTGAGTGAAAAACAGAAATATTCTCTATCAAGACACTTAAACACTATATTAGGACAGAGAGTGTATTTTCTTCGATTATGAATATTTTTAATTAGTAGTCATGTGGGGTCATAACAATAACTGATAAATATAACAGTAGTACTTACTAGATGTTTATGAATAATATTATTATATATAAAAATAAGAGTCTGAGCGCTATTTCCTTAGCAATGGATAGCTTATTGGTCTATTGCAATTTTGAAGAATTTTTTATTAGGTATTCTCATAAGGTTCTGTTGTTAGCATATTGTAAGACTATATTATAATGTCTATTGTTATCTATATATTTGATTTGATTATTATTTGAAATATCGATAACTTTTAAAATTAAATTGATTGTATACCTTTTGTGACTCTATAGAATGTAATAACATTTGGGTGGTAAGAAACGTTTTATAATAGTTAAGCTAAATTATATGAATTATAAAATTTATTATTCTATTCAGTAGCAAAATACAGGTAAAGTTGTAATATAAAAATAATGACTTATTAATAAAATCTTTAATAATTCTTTCATAGATTAAATACCATACACACCCTTCTTATATTTTTAATTTATTCCAACTCTAGGTGAGCTTTGGCCACTCTGGTAGGTTTAGATCACAGATAAATATTTAGATTACCTATTAGGTTCTCTAGATGTCTGAGTTCTTATTCTTAGCACTAGGCTTAAAATTTAAAACCTTTTTCAATTATGTAAAAAGTTTTTATTAAGTTTAATAATGATAAGAGCAAGGTCTCACCTTAAATATTTAAAAAAAAAAATTCTTTCATAGATGCTTGTATCAACTTTAAAGACATTTAAGAGCAACGGTTAATTCGCTATCTCTTCACTCGTATTTAAAAGCCTTTCAAAACCTTCAACACTGATCAAAATAGGGTATATAAAGTTATTGTATTCAATATAATTAATATGCCTATCAAAAATAGCCTTCTCAAGCCATTCATCTGATTTGTTTCCCATAACTTTTTTATATACTAATCTTGGTCGAAAAACAACATTCTGTTCCTACTGATACTGAAATAGTTTTTTTTCACATGTTTTTTTTATATACATACTACATTCCATGGCATTTAAGCCAGTGTAGCAATATTTTTGTATTACAGAGTCAGTCAATCACATCGGTTGATATGCATTGAAATTATATCAGCCTTTAGGTTACGAACTTTGAATTATTCTAATTTTTATCATGAATTACTGCAAAAAATTCTGCTGCAGAACTTACTCATTATTCTGGTGACACACAGTATTTGATTCAAATCATTTGCTTGCATTAGAATTATTACAATTTATATCATAAACTACTATAAAAAATTCTGTTATTATGATTGAGTTAGCTTGCATTATTCTATTATGATAAAAAATTCTGTTGCAAAACTTCTATTCATGATTTCTATATTGAAAAGATTATAATTTCTACTGTAAGATGTGGTAAAGGATGAGTTGGTTTGCTTTGAAATTGGCATGATTTTTATTATAAGCTACTGTAAAAAATCTGTTGAAAAACATACTCCATTCTGATAATGCACAATAATTATTAAGTTAATTTGCATTGGAATTACTTAGAGATGTGCGAATGCAAGTTTTTTTGGCCTTGCATTACATAATGCAGCATTATGTCGCATGGTACATTATGCAGTTCTGTATAATATACTGTGACCTCTTAAAACCTATATGCAGTGAACATACTATGTATTATTACTGAGAGGTTATCGGATTTGAAAACATAATTTATATAGTGAAAACAGACCTGGTATATTAATTTTTTATTGGATTTCACAGGCTATAAATATGATAGGAACAGATGTCTAAAAGTAATTGTTGATGAAATGATATGGATCAAAATTACATAATAACTTCTATGTGCATTTTTGAATTTTAGGCAACTGGCATCGCATTATGCAGCATTATGTAGCATGCAACATCACCTGCATAATGCTTACGGCACATCTCTAGAATTTACTTCTATTCCAGTGACACAATATGCGGTGAAAGATAAGTTAGTTTTCTTTGTAATTATCATAATTCTTATCATGAATTGATGTAAAACTGAAAATGGCCATACCCCAAAATCCCGAAAGACAGATTCTCGAAAAGGACATAATGCCGACGAAGTTAGCCAGCATTAGTTATAATTCTACTAATTTAGACATCTTTCAGAAAAATGGCCTTCGGGATTTCAGGATAAGATCATAGAAAATTCTTTTACTGAACTTGCTCATTAATCCGATGATGTTATCGTTATGTGGTTAAAGTTGAGTTGGAATTATCATGATTTCCTGATCTCTACCGCAAATGTGAACTTTTTTTTACAATAAAAAATATTTACGTAACTTGATCTAATTTGTTATGTCATTTACTGCACGTGTAAATGCAATCAAGCATATGTGATGCAATTGAATGAATTAAAACCTGTCAGGTAAAAACCTGATTACCAAAACATCACACCAACATTATAGATTATTCGGCACTACTACCATGGGAAAGCGTTATTCGGCACCTGCGATCTACTTATCCCCCAGCTCTGCTTTATTATAAGGATAGCTCGGGTCCTAGTGCACTATTACTTCAGATAAGTTGTATATTTCAGATTCAACAGTAGACACTTCAGACAATCTAGGTATTTTAAAACGTTTAATATAGATGAACAAGCTAAAGGTTCTTAGCTGTTAGATAAATCTTTTCAATATTTTCATCTGATTTGCTTTTGATTATAATTTATTTTATTTAAATAAATAAAATGCTTTCATAGATTTTTACTATGATTTTTTTTGGCTATAATTTTCAATGCAATTTCGACAGATATTATTAAAAACTTTGCTATAACTTGAGTTATATTTTCTTTAATTCATTTAATAATTTCTTTTTTTAACTGAAAACGAACTTTTTCTACAGTTTGAGTAATCGCTAAACACCTGGGTATTCTGTAGGTTGAATTAAACAATTTCGAAGTATGAATGTGTTAAAGAATTACTGTTATTTTTACGCAGATTTGTTTATTAAATTTAGACGATATTAAATATCTCAAAACTTAAACGAGAGAAAACTATATGAATTAATTCAAAATAGAGCCTTTTAAACCACAAAATTAGTCTTACAACAATTTGGAAGCTATCATCGATTTGGATATGTCGCACCTGAAGTACCGGTCTGGAGTTGCAATTAAAATAAACCCCTAAAATTGCAACTTCAGATATCTGAAATAGTTTTTATCTAAAGTAACAATTTAAGATATTTGAAGTAGCCGTCTAGCAACTATAAACCAGGTTAGTAAAAGTTTTCAAGGTAGTTGTGTCTATAGATAATTCGTTATTTTAATTATTTTAATAGGATCATTAAAAGTTTGGGCGGTGTAATAAACATTAATGGCTCAGTAAAATATTCCCTGGCAAAGCTTTTTTCAGTGCAACAAACATTAACAAATTGGAAAAACAAACTTCATCAGATTTTGGCAAAATATAAAGTTTTTGTATACAGATATACTTAAAAAAAGTTATTTATCGTTGATTTTAATAACTAATTATATTTCAAAAAAATGTACAAACTTTTGATATTTATTTTTTATTATTTCTTGATAATTTTATTTGTGACCTACACGACCTCCACTACAACTTGTCAAAACAGTGGTCCCAAATGCTGTTTTGATAACGCATATAGCGCATTCCGTAGTACAACAATTAATTTAATCAATTACAGCGGAACCAATATTACTTTTGTGGATGCAACTCTCGATAATGGAATATGGACCTCGCAGTGTGATCCAAACACAATTGATCGAATCCATGATGGCCAAAATGCAACTTTTGCCAACGAATCAACAGGAAAAGTACTAAAAGCTTCGGGTTCAGTTCGGCTTATTATTGGATGCATGTACGTTCTTAATATCTATTGGGAGGATCCTTGGTCTGGAAAAAATATCTATTTGGTTTATATTTCTCCATCAAATTCACCCTATGTAGTAGAAGAAGGTTCTAGTGGAAGTGGTAATAATGCAATTCAAACTATTACAATTAGAAAGAGATAGATTTTTTTTTTTTTTATGTATTGAATATAGAAGCTACTTTATCAACGTCACCATTCGTATAATTGATCTATAGACCTTTTAACCTTTATAAATTATATAACGAGCACGTAGCATTAAATGAACTTTGTAAAGTTCTAAGCAGATTTATAATAAATTAAATCACTGAGTTCTAAGCAGATTTATAATAAATTAAATCACTGAGTTCTAAGCAGATTTATAATAAATTAAATCACTGAATTCTACAATTAACTTTTCTTATAATAAGCTAGAAGTTCTTGCAGTAAAATTTAAAGTCCTTTATAAAACAATTTATGTTTTTGTAAAAAGTTCAAGCTTGTGATAAAAGATTCGTTATGTTCAGAGCTGAAATGCAGTTAAAAATAAAATGCATTCATATTGTAATTCAATAGCTTTCACAGGTTGAATCAATGAAGATCGGGTACATACCGGGAGAAAAGTTTCTGATAAGACCCGATAGTCTGCCATAGATCCGTCGAATACATGTTTGTATATCAGCAGCATATTGGTAAGATATCGGGAGGTAGATCAATATCGGTAATAGTAATATAATAGTAAATAATTAGGGTATCCTGATATCTTACTTTAGGCCCAGAGTATTAAAAGTAAGATACCGGTTATTTTACTGACATCGATCTTCGTCCCGATATTATATCAATATACAGCAGGTATTGGCGGATCTATGGAAGACCATCGGGTACATATCAATAAACTCATCTCCTGGTATGTACCCCATATTCATGATTTTCTCTAATTCGTGAATTATCTGTATTTATTCCTTTGTGATGTTACCTATATTTATTCTTTTTGTGTTTATATGCATTCTCATTTGTGATATCAGTAAATTATTTAGGATAAATTAATTTAACAACTAGGCGCATGTGTTGTTTAAAGGGAGTTAGAATAGAGTATGCTATATTGTATTGAAATTCTCAAATTTTTATCAATTTCAATCATAATTTATAGCAGAACAGGTAAATATTTGTATTAATTATGAAAATTTTGTTATTTTGTAGTATTTACACATTATAGTGTTATTTGTATTATTTAACTGTTCTATATTGCTTCTCATTACAATGCTTTCTTTTTTCATTTTATCTACCACTACATGATACAGTTACTTATATAATTGAGTTTGTTTTTTTTTTTTACAAGCAAAGGTTCACCTCTTGAGTGCATGTTTTTATTTTAATAATTAGGAATATGTACATATAACTATACCTAAATTTAAACATTATGCAAGCAAGAATAGGGCTCATGGATAACTATATATATCTAAGAATTACTTTATCCAATAATTCAGAGTATCTCTAATCTCCAAATTTACCCCAACCTTAAATCTTGGCTAGATAAAGTCTGAAACTTTGACTTTCTAGACTAGGTTCTTGTGTACTCACTTACAATTACCCTTATGCAGTTGCCTAGGCTTTCACTTGTGGATGAGGCTGTGCTTCCATTATAGGTCCATTATATGATGTCCTGGGTCTCTACCTTGCGGTGTTATAGTTCCCTACTCTGCAGGGCCTCAAATGTTTTTTGCTCTTGTATAGGTTCACAACAACCCTGGTACTCACAATTAGACCATTTTCTTACCCGGATTCTTTATCAGTTCCTCCTTTACTTCTAGCCAACAATTCAGAAAGATCAGTCTGCCCAGGCTTTAGATGTCTAAAGGATGTCCACCTCTTGGTACATACTTTCGGAGCATATGTCCTTTTTTTCCGGTGTGACAACCTGACAGTTCGGCTAGTCATATGTAATTGAGTTTGTATCAGAATTATTATGATTTCTAATAAGTAAATAGATGAGTTTGAGTTAGTTTGCATTGGAATTGATATGATTTAATTATGAGTTATTAAAAAATTTAGTTACAGAGATTACTTGCTATGCCAGTAACAATAATATGCGGTTAAGATAAGTTAGTTTGCATCAGAATAATAATATTGTTATTTCGGTGACCACAGTATGTAGTTAGTTTGTATTGGAATTATAATGCTTTTTTTATTATAAATTATGGTGAAAAATTCTGCTACAGAACTTACTTGCTATTCTAGTGAGCATAATATATAGTGAAGTTTGAGTTAGATTGTTTTGTAATTGTCATAATTTTTATTAGTTACTGTAAATAATTTTGTTGTAGAACTTATTTGTTATTCTGGTGATTACAGTTTATAATGAGATTAACATTTATTTGTAAGTTACTAAAAAAATTTTATTGTAAATAATTCTTTTATAAACTTATATACTATTTTGGTGACAACAATGAGTGATTGGTTTGGATTAGAATTGTCATGTATTCTATCATGAGTTATGTACTATAAATACGATTATTATAGCTATTTCAGTATTAAGGTAAGTTAGTTTTTGCAATAAAATTGTTGTAATTTCTTTCATGATTTTGTTATAAAACTTACTGAATTAACATGATTTATTCATGAGTTACTAAAAGTGCCATTATAGGACTTACTTTTTATTCAGATTAAGACAAATTATCATGATTTCTATCACAAATTAATATAAACAGTGTTCTGTTACAGAACTTATTAACTATTCTAGTTATCGTGAGTTATTGTAAATTAGAATTGTCATGGTTTCTATTATAAGTTATTGTAAATAATCTGTTACAAACTTACTATTCTAGTAATTATAATATGTGGTTAAAATATGTTAGTTTGCATTGAAATTGTTATGATTTCTATCTATTATTAGTTATTAAAAAATTCTATCTCAAAACTTACTTGCTATCCATAAGTTAGTTTATATTAGAATTGTTGTTATTCATGTAAATAATTTCGTTGCAGAAAAATACTCGCTATTCTGGTTCATAGCAGTGTTTTGGCCTAAACCTTTACTCAAAGTCCAAAACATTTTACCCAGAAGAATTTTAAAAATTGGGTTTGCCCAAAACACTGGTTCATAGTAAGCAAAATTATTTATTTTTGATAAAATTTGTAGATCACAACAGACCTATACAATCACCTGATTGTTATCTGATTGCACAATTGTACAAAACATTTTTTAGTGAGTATGATTTCATAACAAAGATTATGAAAATTACATATTATTGCGGTTTGCAAAAAAATGTGAAATTTGAAGATCAAAAAAAAAAGTAATCAATGATTTCTGATTCTGATTGCCGTTTTTTTACCAATTTTTTACAGAAATAAAAGTTGTAGATTTATAATTTTGTAACATATTTTTTGATTTAATATCTTTTGTAAGAATTTATTTTGCATACTCTTCATGTTGTAAAGAACTTGATTGTGTAATGTTAAATTTTGCTTCTTTTCTAGCCAGTAAAATTTACTATTGCATGATAAGAAAGAAGAAAATTTAAAAGCTGTACTAAATTCAATCTTATAAAGATTATTAGAATCCAAAACATGTTCTAAGATAATAATTTTAGTAATTAGAAATGAATTTTCTTTAAAAAAATATAAACTAAATAATTATATATAAGACTTTATATGGTATAATATTAGTTGATATACATACATCATCAGAAGTAATGTTAAAAAAATTGGCAATCAGAAATCAGAAATGATCGATTTCTTTTTTTTTTTTGATCTGCAAATTTCACATTTTTTGCAAACCGCAATAATATTGAATTTTTGTTTAAGAATCACTTTATAATTACACAAATTGGATGACAATTAGATGATTATATAAGTAAGTAACGATCTATACAATTTGATCAAAAATAAATCATTTTGCAAATTGCAATAAATTAATATAATTTTTCATGAGCTACTGATGTTATAGAATTTATTCACTATTCTAATACTAGTGCTCGGCAAAATCAAACTTCTGTTTGACTCTCAAATACTTGTGATGATTTAGCTTTTAAATCAATACAGCAATATGGTAATACGATAATACAGTAATACTGTATTGCTATATTGATTCAAAAGTTAGCCCATCACATATATTTGAGTGTCAAAAAAAAGTTTGATTCTGCCAAGCACTATTTGTTATAGAACTTAGTATTTTGGTAATCACAATATGGAATTAAATTTTTGTTAGTTTATATTAAAATGTTATAATTTTATTGTAAGCTATTGTAAATAATTCTTTTACAAACTTACTATTCTAATATTGCCACAATGTGTGATTAAGATAAGTTAGTTTATATTGAAATTGTCATAATTTCTATTGTAAGTACTGTAAATAATTTTGGTACAAACTTACTTACTATTCGATTGACTATAATATGTGATTAAGGTAAAAAAATTAGTTTGTATTGAGAAATTGAGCTATTTAAAAAATCTTACTCACTATTTCAGTGACCACAATATTTGGTTAAACTGAAATAATTTGCATAGAAATTATTGTATTTCCATTGCGAGTTGCTATAAAAAATCTATTACAGAACTTACTCGCTGTTCGATGACAGCTAAGTCAGGGATAGTTTGCATTGGAATTGTTGTAGTTACTATCATGAGTTATTATAAATTATTCTGTTACAGAACTTTCTATTCTGGTGACTACAATATGTGATTAATGTGAGTTAGTTTGCATTGAAATAAATGTGATTTCTATGATGAGCAACTGAAAAATTCTGTTACAGAACATACTTACAATTTTGATAATGACAATAAGTTGTTAAGGTGATTTAGTTTACATTTAAATTAATATAATTTATATTGTGAGTATTATTACAGAACTTACTCACTATTTCAGTGATTTCTATCGTTAGTACTGTAAACGTACTGTTGCAAAACCTTTTATCATACTTTTAACACAAAACATGCAGTTCACTAATGCATGTTAATAGTGTTGTCTATACTTTAGTTAATAATATGTAGAATGCGTGATGCACAAAAGTTGATTTTTTAAAATGATAAATAGATAATTGGTTTGACATTATTATGTAGAAGACTATGAATGTCATAGTCAAAACATAATTTTGGACGGCTTGATCTTCACAATATACTGTATATTTTTATTATTATGTATAAAGTTTGGCATATATTTAGCTTAAA